TGCTTGATTATCACTTCCTTTCATAGACGTGCTAGCTTTCTATTTGGATTTTTTATCTGTATAATTGTAGTCTCCTAAAATTGGTGCAGTGGGAAAATTGAAAACAATGTTTTTCCATCTCAAGGAGAATCGAATTACTCTAATATCATTTATTTGTTTAGAATTGCTATGTATTCTTGCATTTGTTCTTGAGTAATTTTCTAAACATGTTATTTTATCTCTTGATCTTGATATTCATTGTTTTCTATAATATATTTTAGTTTAAGATCCAGTTTCTTTGATTTTTCTAATAGATCTATCAATGAGCAGAACATAGTGACAAAAATCCTGCCGACCTAGAAATTTTTAGGCACAAAGCCTAATTTTTTGCTGCTGTCTGTTGTATTTGGTTCCAGATAGAAAAGTAACTTAGAATCATAAAACTCTCATAGATACAACCGTAAAAAAGTTTTTGATTAAGAGGTTAATTAACTGATATAAAACATGGCTTTGAAAAACTTTGAGCCGATCCCTAAAAGTGAAAAAATAATTCATCAGGGATGGAACTAATATTAGTGATATATTTACATGTCATATTTAAGGGCAATAAATTTAGGGGTAAATTTGTCCAGAAGTCCCAAACCGTCCATAACTGTAGCACTTACGTCTTCAAACCTTTTAATGTTTTGTGTGTGCTATCTTTATCTATTGGAAAATGCTTATCTAGACGTAAAAGTGACAGACATGTGATGTTTGATTGAAGTGTAAAATTGTCAAAAAAAAAAAAAAAAAAAATTCTTCCAAAACTTTGAGGGCAACCATTAAAATTACAGTAAATGTTGCCTTTTTATTTGTTTTATTTTTTAACAATTTTATCCTTTCAGTCCAACATTATTTGCTTGTCGCATGACAATTACACGTGTGAGGTATCGATTAATAAGCTAACTTATCAAAATCTTCAATGCTTAAATTGCGTCTAATTTTTCACAACAGCGAAATAACCATTACAACATTTTTTAAACAGGTAATATGAATTCGTCATTTATGGTCAGTCATCAGTTCCTCTCATAGAGGTACCACAGCTTTCTCTGTGCCTATATGTATTATTGCCAATTTCATCCATTTTTGCTCAATCATTCACTTCCTGTCTTAGAGTTGCCAAAAGCTTTCTCTTTGGATTTATATGCATAATTGTAGTCTCCTAAAATTGAGTCTAGTGGGAAAATGAAAACGATGTCAGGGAGAATTGAACTACTTTAATATTATATATTTTTTTAGAATCTCTTTGTATCATTGCATTTGTTAGTAATCTTCTATCATGTTGGTTTGTCTCTTGATCTCGACTTGCATTGTTTTTATTATTTATTTAGTTTTAAGATCTAGTTACTTCGAATTTTCTAAAATATTTAGCAATGGGTAGAACACATTGATGAAAAAAAAATCCACGTAACCAACCTATAACTTTTTAGGTACAAGGCCTAATTTTTTGCCGCTGTTTGTTGTATTTGATTCTAGATTAAAAAAGACTTAGAATCATAAAAATTCTTAAAGATATAGCAATACTAAAGTTTTTGATTAGGAGGTTAATTAAATTGATATTAAACATAGCCTTGAAAACCATTGAGTTAACACCCAAAAGTGAGAAAGTAATTCCTTAAGATGGAAGGAATATAATTGATATGTTTACATGTCATATTTAAGGGCAATAAATCTAAGGATAAATTCTTATGGGGTCCTCAATCTTTCATAAATGTTGCAATCATGTCTCCAAACCTTTTAACATTGTGCATGATGCATCTTTACATGTTGAAAAATGTCTTTCTAGATGTAAAAGCAACATGCACTATATGTAAAAGCCACAAACATAATGTTTGATTGAAAAGGTAAAATCGCATGGAATCTTATCTCGGGATGTATTGTTTGGTGTGTGTGGAGGGAAATGAACAATCGATGGTTTGAAGACCAAATACGGACCATAGAGCAATTTAGAGAATTTTTTTATCTGACTTTGTATACTTGATTTAATGTAGCGACTAGCAATCCTATAGAGGGGAGGGAAAGGAAAAACCGATGCTTTGAAGAACAAACACGGAATACAGAGGAATTTAGAGAATTATTTTATCTGACTTTGTATACTTGGTTTAATGGAGCGACTAGCAATCCTATAGAGGGGCTGCCTAACTTTTTATCTTTTCTTTCTTATTTGAATTGATAATACACTTCCTGTGTATTCTTATTTGATTAATAAAATTTTACGATTATCTATCAAAAAAAAAGGAAAGGTAAAATTATCTTAAAATATTTTATTTATTCCAAAATTCATAGGGCTGCCATTAAAAATTACAGTAAATGTTGCTTTTTTTTTTTGTGCGACAATTTTACCATTTCAGTTTGATATCGCACGTGACATGGCCATTTAACATCTAAGTACACTTTTTTCATTAAGCGGGGATATCGAGTGTGTAATGTTAAAGGGATGTGGATATGGGTGGCACAAATGGAAAATGGAAGGTTTCGGACATGGCTGCCACACTTATGCTAGATTGGGAACCTTTGGAGGAATTTATTGTAAAAATAATGATCTCAAACCTTAGCACATTGATGCTGTAAACATCTATTTTTTCTCTTACATGGTGTGGCAATTTAAGGTCTTCGTTAATAAAAAGAAATCGTGCAGATCTACATACTCGTTGCATTATCATGTATTTATTCCACAGTTACCAACAAATATGTCAGTTGGTCGCAACACTCCACCAACATTCAGGTGTTCATTGCATGCTAGTGTATTTATGTGTAAAGAAATGTAGAATTACATTTTGCATGGGATAAGGATGAGACATTGCTAGTACACCCTTTTATCTCATTTTCGGAAGCAAGCACTTCTATTTTGTAGTGTAACACCTGTTTGATATATGTTTTCATTTGTATATTATCCTACAAAGTTTTATTAAAGATTTTTTCACATGGATTTTATTGGTGTAAAAAGGTCCATGATAGGTATCTGTAGAAGTGCTATGGTGAATGCTAGAGAGAAAATGAAATTCTATTGGATAGATTATATAATTAATGACATTTTTAATGGAATAGTCACGAGTATGAGATGCACTCACAGTAGTAATGGAGAATTTCCTATCACTATAGGTCTTAAGCTGTCTCATCTTCTCGCTTTAATCATTAACAACTTTATGGCGTATGTCCAAAAAGAGGTTTCTAGGGTTATGCTATTCTATAATAACATAGTTTTGGAAAAAAAATGTTTAATTGTAAGTTCAATCTTTGGGCGAGTACTTCGAATCTAAGTGTTTTTATACAAAAGAATCAACATATTACATGTAATGCCACTTAAACTTATTGGATGGATTAATAGGAAATCATGAAGGCTCATGTCCTATGCTTGTGACTTCCATTACAATTGGGAAGTGATCCCGCTTAAGGTCAGCCCAAATAGTCGAGCCTACATCATAATTTGTGAGAGTGAGAACTTGTGTTTGTGCGGCCCCCTTTTGAGGAAAAAAAATAAAGATAGAAAGACACACATTTTGCAGCTTAAAAGATCATTTCTATAGATCAATCATAAGACGTACTATGCTTTAGGTACCAAGTGCTGAAAGGACAATGTCCATATATGAATGTAGAGTAAATGAAAGTGCTAAAATGAATGTGTTGTCATACTAGAATGGATAATGAAGGAGAATTTACCCCCAACAAATGGAGGTGATGCTGATTGAGGAGAAATTAAGAGAACAGAAACTTAGATTGTTGGAACAAATTTTGTGCAGACAAGAGGCTCCAAACCACAAGAGTGATGTAATCTCATTAGAGAAGTTTAGAATAAAAAGTGCAGACCTTTTCTAAGAGGGCTTGTAGTGGTTGCCAAGGATACAATTGCTTTTTGTCTCCCTATAAATGTAATGAAGCGAAGGAGGGCAAAGAAGGATTCATGTTGCCTTTGTTGTTGTTGAGGGCATTTTTTCCTGTATGTTAAAGAGCAAAAGAGGTAATTTTTCCCAAAAAGAGCAGTAATAGGTCATTCAGTTGTATTATGTGAGTATTTCTTGTACAACTTCTGAAAATTTTATGCAATTTCTGTACTTTTAGGAAAAATATAATTTTGCAAGTCATGCAATGGTACTGGCATAGTGGCCTTGGTTGTTGTGTTTGATTTCAGTGTGAATTGGTTGTCAAGAAATATAAATTGTATTATATTGTCTTGTTAATATTACAATGTAGAAGATCCTATTTATAAGGTTACAAATAACTGTAGAAGGAAATAAACATAAAAGGAANTTTTATAACTCACCTTTTAATGTAGTTATCTAAGACATTTATTTGGAGAGTTGGTCAAAGTAGGATGTCTGTATTAATTCCTGTGAGCATTGCTGGGGCTAATGGGCATCTCTTCTCCACATTTTACTGCTTTTGGTTTCCAGCTACACTTTGGAGCTTCGTTACTGGCCAATTAGTTAGGCTAGTATCCCCATCATTTACTTAAGGTGGAATCCAAAGGTCGGAAACAGGACAATCATGAGTCTTTTTGAGCATTATTCCTTTTGCTGACACAAGCTATCTATCTGGCTTATGTTACCTGCTTGACATGATGGCATCTCTTTCTTTACCATTCCTATTTTATTGATAGTTATAACCTATTAAAAAGGTTGGTTCGGTCGATTATGAGTCTGGGGATGTGAACATAGTGGCCCTAAAATACCTTCTGCGTTATCTTATCATTATTTGGCATGGCCACCCCAATATTTAGTTTTAACGGTTCGTTGTATGATACAAGCAACCTATCTGGCTTCTGTTACCTGCTTGACGATATGATCATTATTTGGCCTGGTCACCCCAATATTTAGTTTTAACATGTTCGGTGTATGATATTTTAGGGATTATCTGTCTGAGCTTTGTCTACTTAATAATTTATAGGTTTAGGCATTTTCTGTTGTTCTTTTGCTCTCATAATTAAGGAATTTAGGTTCACTGGAAGGTTCAGAAGCTGCTTTGTAAAAATTGTTCGAATAAGCATGCCGCCAAATCCAAGAGTTGCCAAAGCCTTTCGTGCTATGAAGGCTATTGGGATCTCCGAAGATAAGGTGAAGCCAGCATTGAAAAATCTACTAAAGTTGTTCGATAAAAATTGGGAGCTTATTGAAGAGGAAAATTATAGATCCCTTGCTGATGCTATATTTGAGAGGGAGGAAGCTGAGGTATGGTGCCTCTTTGGAGTTATTACCTTTAAGTTGATTTCATTTGTTAAACTCTGTATTTTTTGTAGTTCTGAATAGTTTTTGTTGCACATTCAGGCAATAGAGCAGTCAAAGAAGATCGTGAACAATGAAGTAAGAAGCATTTTTTTTCTTGTTTGTTGTGCTTTCTGGAAATAATTTTTTAATGCTAGTGGATTTTAATCGTTAATCTCTTTTTTCTCATATTTTCATCAATCTTACAACACTGAACCTGTCTACTTCCCTTAAATGGCAGGAGGATTATTTGGAGGAAGAAGCTCAGGTGAATGAGGAGCCTGAACGACCCTTAAAAAGGTTGCGACTAAGAAATCGAGAAGTTGAAGTGTCACCTTCCTTAAATAATACTACCTCGCCTGGAACTTCACTTGTCATACCTAAAGAACAGGATGAACTTCTTGAAACGGGTGTACAGAGTCAGAATCAGTCACAAGACAAAGCAGATTCACCTCGGCCCAATACTGGAAAATTGAGGGCTGAGTCACCGGAGAGGTGTGATCCCTCTCGGCCTAGTGCTGTCAATAAAAGTCAGCAAAAAACCCCTTTGAGAACAGAATCCAATTCAGTTTCTCATCCAATGCGCCTCAGAGATAGAGGGAAGGGATCTCTCTCAACTCAAATTCCTTCTGGGGAGAAGAGGTCATCTCTTGCTGGATGCCATAAAGAGCCAAACCTTGAGCCCAGCATTGCCGTGTTGCCCAAACAGAAGACCACTACCAGTCATGTTTTAGTTAAAGAAGAGCCGGTCACCTATGATGTGTCCCAGCTTGAGGTTCCTTCTGCAGTCTCCCAGCCAGGTATGGCTTATCCATCCTGGCTGAAAGTTACTATCGTTTTGACACAAGTTACTTTTGTTAGTTTATGTGAGCTTGCGTCTGCGTATCTATTCTTTACCTGTACCCATCTAATTTTTGTCCATATAATTGGTCCCTTTACTTCACTTGGATTGTTAGAATCGTCTGCCCATTTGGCTTCTGGAAATACCTGGTCCTGGTGTGTGTTGGTTTCTGTTAAGTTTTTAGGTTATATTAAAAATTCAAGACCTCTGGTATTTTTTACTTCGTTCAATAGGATGAGGTGATTTACTTTGAAATGTTTGTCAAAATGGATGTATATTGATTATGACTTTCTAATGTACTTGAGTGATTTTCAAATATTGAATGTTGACTGTTGAGAGAAGTATTTGCTGCCCAGTTGTGGGTTATTCCATTGAGGTCCCAGATTGTGACTTATTTGAACTACCAACATATTTGGCACGTCTGACATATTCATCATTTCAGATCCATCAAGTAAAGGAGAGTCATCAAGTAGAAATGGTTCAATCAGAGAAAATAATGGTCCTGATCTGTTGGCATTGCAGTCTATGGGTGAAAAAGGCACAGCTCATGTGGTTTCCATTTCAAATGAAATGAGAAACAATGGCGGGCCGGCAATTGTTTCAGGTGAATCTTCTTTAAACCTTGAGATTGCTTCCTCACCTTTTGGAGAGGTGAAAATTTCTGATCTGCAACTTGACTTTTGGAAGGCCTGACTTCCACGTGCCTAGTCTTGATGCAGTACTAAAATCTTTGGAGGATAAATGTCTCAGATCATACAAAACTTATGATCCGAACTTTTCGGTGATGAAACTTGTGAAAGAAATTTGGAATTGAATCCTCTAACTCTGGAAACCGTAGATGTGAAACTCATTATTGATTCATTCAAAATATATTTTGCAACAGATGCTTTAGGTGCTAAAGGCGTGCACTTTCGTTCTTTGGATGGATCGACCAGTTCTGAGATTGATGAGGAGGTAGCTCTGCCCCAAGAACCACAATTGCCTCCTCCTTGTGATAGCGTGGATGACGGTATACAGCTTAACAAGAGGGCCAGTGAAAAATTCTGTGAAACAGATGAGGAAAACAAAGAGAATGATCTTGAAGACACAAACTTCCAGCATGTTGAAAGGATAAGGTCGCTCCATGACGTTGTTGATATAGCCAAGGGACAAGAAAGAGTAGTAATTACCCTGGCGAATGAAGTTAATCACAAGTCTCCGCCATCTTTCTTCTACATACCCAAAAATGCTGTTTTCCAAAATGCATATGTAAATTTTTCTCTAGCTCGTATAGGAGATAATAGTTGTTGTTCAACCTGTTCTGGTGATTGTCTATCATTATCCATGCCTTGTGCATGTTCACATGAAACTGGCGGTGAGTTTGCATACACAACTGATGGACTCATTAAGGAGGAATTCCTTAAAGAGTGTATTTCAATGAATCGCGATCCTGAAAAACACTGCCAGTACTTTTGTAAGGAATGCCCACTGGAAAGGTCAAAAAATGAAGATGTCGTTGGATCTTGCAAGGGTCATTTGGTGAGGAGGTTCATCAAAGAATGTTGGTTGAAATGTGGGTGTAATATACAGTGTGGCAATCGAGTGGTACAAAGGGGAATAAGTCGCAAGTTACAGGTAGGAGTTCCTGCCTATGTTCGGACCTAGACCTACCTATGGAGTCCCATGGTCTTGTTGATGCTTTAATAATAAGTTTTTCCATGATTGCACTAATTTTTCCTTATGTAATGTTTTTCTTCAGGTGTTTATGACCCCTGGTGGAAAGGGGTGGGGTTTACGTACCCTGGAGGACCTGCCAAAAGGTGCCTTTGTCTGCGAATATGTTGGAGAAGTTTTAACAAATGCAGAGCTATATGATCGTGTACGGAGCTCCAAAGGGGAAGAACATTCATATCCTGTGCTTCTTGATGCTGATTGGGGTTCGGAAGTCGTGCTAAAGGATGAAGATGCTCTTTGTTTAGATGCTACATATTATGGTAACGTAGCAAGGTTTATCAATCATAGGTAAGTTCAGTTGATTGAGAATGCATTCATTTTGTGAATTATTGTTCTTTTTCCTGAATTTCACCGTTGGGTCCACCATGTCTCTTGGTCTTATTCTCTAGTGTGATAGCAAGTTAGTAATATGTTTCTGGTTTATCCAAAAAATGACCCCCCTCCAAAAAAGAGAGAGAGCAAACCAAGGCAGAGGATTATAACTTGATTTCTTTGTATTATCAAAAGTTGCTTCATTGAAGAGCTTAGTAGAGCTTTGTTTAAGGAGTCATTCAATACAAATGAAAGGCTGTTTGTTTATCACATTGTTTATGATAATGTGAAGATAAGATGGGGAAACTGAAGAAGGTAAGGTTTATGTTGAACTTTTTTATTTCATTTATTAGATTATCCTATTCAACCTAGGCTATAATACACACTTCTGAGAGCTCTTTCATTTTTGTAATTGAGTCTCTCTCTCCCTCCCACAGGTGCGCAGAAGCACATACATATACCCATAAAATTGCATTTGCTTAAATGTGTTAACATCCTTGTCAAGGACAAAATATTCTTGTCTCCAATCCCCCTCTGCCTCCAGAATGTAGAATGCATTAAATTTTATAGAAGAGATTTCTCTTTCTCTGAGCCTTTCATTGATTTCAATTTCAGATTTCTTAATAGTCAATTTATATCCTGCTAGGTGTTTTGATTCAAACATGGTGGAGATACCCGTGGAAGTGGAGACACCTGATCACCACTATTACCATGTATGAAATCTATCCTGCACGGTTTTCCTTTTCCATTTTCCATGTCGACTGCTATTAATTATTTGTGTCCACAATATTATTGGATTTTGGATCTCTTGCAGCTTGCCTTCTTCACTACAAGAAAGGTAAAAGCCATGGAAGAACTCACTTGGGTAAGTAATATTTATTTCAAGGATTATGTTATGTATAAACGTGCCTTACGTAGTTCTAGAGAGGTATAAATGTCTACTGTTAGACAAGTAATGTATATTTGATTGGCGTGAATGATTAATGGGAAAATCACTTGCTTCAAGATTCCCGAGGAGCAAGAAAATGGTCAATTTGGAACTGAGAAAATGAATAATATTGGTGGACCTTTTTAATCTAGATCATATTTTACTGAAATTGGCATCATGTTGAGGAAGCACTATGTCATTGAAAAAGGAGTTTTGGTGTCTCGAAAATGTCATAAATCCGTTTGAATGAAAATGCAGTGTATGCTTAAGCAACTTTCAACCTCTTCATTGCTAGTTGAAAACCATCTATCCTACTAGTAATGTTTTAGTTGGTTTTTAAGGAACAGACAAAGGCACCCATTGAGGATAAATTAAGGGTAGGATGAGTTAGGTTGTTGAAGGATGTCTCCTAAAGAAACTCCCTTTCACAAGAGTGATAAGATCCTAATAGAATATATTAGAAAGGGAGAGTGAGACCAAAATCAACATGGTATATTGTAGTTAAAAACATTCTGATTGCCTTAGATCTTCCAATGGACGTGGATGGACCACAAGTAGTAGTGAAAAGCATGAATGTTGCTGATCCTAAATGTTATAGGAATAAGGCTCAGTTTATTTTTTTTTAAGTTATATGTTTGCGTACATGTATGTATGTGCGCGGTTGTTTTTTCTTTATCTTATTTTCAATAAAACATACACCTGCACCCAGAAAGGGTAACCTCTTAATAATTTGCTCTAATGATATTGTGCTATCTCATGCAAATAAATACAGACTTGCTAAGAATTAAGAACCAAGATTTCCCTCTCTGAATATTGAATCTGTCAACACCCACCCTCTAATTATTGAATTATCACAATATACATTTCTTATCAGTGAATTTTGAGATCTTCAAGAATTATCTTTAACCCTATACTCGCAAATTTCAAGTTCCAGGGCTCTAAACTTTACCTAGTCGACCTAGCAACATCTTATCGTATATGTCTTCTCTGTTTCCTTTAACTTCCACGTTGGAATTTGGATCATACTAAAGTTGATCTTTTGCCAGTTCTGGTTCCTACCTAATTTGCGTGAATATGGGCCCCTAAACAAGAGAATTTGTTTCTGTTGGGTGGACTTTAGATAACTAAGAAAATGAGGCTAAAAGATCGAGGAGCTTAATACCAAGAACAAAAGATGAGGCTAATAGTGCAAAACACACTATACGCGGGGATGGTAGCTGCAGTTTAGCATATGGTTTGATTATAGCTGCATCCATAAATTTTCTTATCTGGACATGGTAGTTAGATTCGCAGTGGCGATATCTGGTTACATCTTGGTTGTACGACCGTTTGTCTTAATGTATTGAATTGTTTATGTAATAGTTTTTTGAAATGAGTTTTGCAAACATGTTAGATTGTCCCTTGGAACCCACCTTTTATTGTTTACCTTTGCCTTAAGCCGCCATATTGAATATTAATCCTTGTCCATAACTCAATGAGGTGATTTGAAATGGCAGAGAGTTTTATATAATAGTTGATAAAAGTGGATGCTTGATTTAACTTTTCATTTTTACCCTCACATCCAAGGAACAAGAATCCTTGTTTATGTACTTCAGGGCATGTTTGGAAGTAAATAATTATTTCTGGTAGGACAATTTTTACAGTTCCAAAGAGGAAATAGGAGCATTATAATGTAGGCACAGGCTATATATATGAAAAAGGGTTTGTGATGATTTCACCGTTCCACGTCTGAGTCTGATGTTCATTTCTTCTCTACCAGTCATTATACCTCGACTGAACTAGCTAGTGAACTGGCCACTCAGCTGTTCCCTTTCTCTCATTTAATAAGACAAGGATGGTCCTGGCCATGACCATGACCACTTTGGATACGGTGACCCATGGTGCATGTGATATTTTAAATGTGCATTGATAGGTAAGTAGAGAAGTACAAAAAATTGTTTGACCTGCATCAGGCCAAAACTAAGAGATCTTCACAAAGTAGGCTCAAATCGATAGCTATCTGGTTCCATGTAGGTTATTCTGTGTTTCTCGCAATGAAGCATCGAAAGTGAGAAAATGGAATTTAGGAGAAGAAAACAAGACGGAAGAGAGGGAGAGTCCGATAGTGTCTAGGGCTGCTTGTTTAACATACGAACAATGTGCCTACTGGAATAAATACAGTAGGAAAATTCCTAGAGTATAGACTAATCTCTACCTTAAAGGGTTATCATATATCTGGAAATCCAGCAACATAAATCTTGACTTCTAAGTAAATGTTCTCACTTTTGCCTTTTAGTTCACCATTTTTATGTCTATCATTGTTACTGCGTGTAATAAAATCAAATGTGTAATATATGTGCAGTTAACTGCAATGTTCACTCTCTTTTATCTATGTGTATGTTCAATCATGCTCTTAAAAGTAAATAACAATTGATGCTTACGCATAACATAATTTATGTATTTGAATATGTTCTCTTTATTAAAACCTTAATGTTATCCTTGCAGGATTATGGTATTGATTTTGACGACCATGATCATCCTGTCAAGGCATTTCGCTGTCAATGTGGCAGCCGGTTCTGCCGCAGCGTAAAGCGTCCAAGTAGTGAGTATAACTTATAGGCATGATTCACTGTCACCTTGTTTATGTTTAAATATGCTGTAAAAGAAGACCTCTTCTGCTCTTTCTTAATGATAGCGAATAGCGCTGGCAGCAAGCAAAATAGTCAAGCCAGAGAGGGAATTGTTCGATCTTTTTCACTATGATAGAGAGAAAAGAGAGCTATCTACTCTAAAAAACCCTTGCATAGCTAATAGCTCGTTGAATCTTTGGAGAGAGTATTTCGACAATTCGTTGAATCTTATTAGTTGAGGGTACCCTCATATGTTTGGATTTCGCAAGTCTATAATAAGGTTAGGGAGGGTAAGGGCCCTTTCTCAGTCTTTGTAGCTTCTATAGTGCTCAGTATAGCATTGGCAAAACCATTTCCCAAAGCGGTGTTCCGAGCTTCTAGTTCTTTTGCTAACATCCTTTGATGACAGGCCGATGGAAGGAAAGTGCTTTGAGTGTCGATGTATCAATCTTACCAAGAGTAGCACCGTAGTAGCTAAAAGATTCCTTTAAGTAGAACCCTTTTAGAGAGGGAAAACATTTGCTCTAGGCTGCTAAATATCATTCGTGGTATTCTTGCCTTGGCTGCAATCTAAAGGTTGTCCTCATTTCAATGTGACGTGTATGATGTGGCTATTGCCCTGAACTAGACTTCTTCGCCTATATTTTTGAAGTTCCACCAATATCTATACTCGGGCTTGTTTGGCCATCCATGTTTTAACGGTCTTGCAAGCATCTTGATTTTGTGGATTATCTCGTTTCTCTCTCTGTTCAATTTCAATTTTGACCTTGTTTATATTTAAAAAGTCGTAGGAAGAAGATCCATCTGCTTTTCTGAATGACTGTGAATTGTTTGCCATAGCGTGTAGCCAACAGTAAGGTTGCTTAAGCTTTTCCCTCTCCCCTATGCTATTCCATTTTACATTTTTGGTATGTGCATATTACTGTGCCTGTTAAAGATCTTTTTGTTTATTTGAAGAGGATGGTAAACACCATTTTACAAGGCTTTAATGGAGGGAATGGACAGCAGGGATGATTTTTGGATAACATTTGCTTGATTTGAGGGTGAAATGTGCCAAATTGAAGGATAGAGACGATTTGCCCAAAACTGGCAAAGTATAGGGATTTTTTGTGCCAATTAGCCTTTTTTGAACTGCCGCCAATATATTAACCCATGCTTTTTTTCTTTTTGACTTATTAGGAACATCGTGCTTTTGTAGAAAATCACAGTAGACAGAATCGTAAAGTTGGGCGCAGATTTGCTGCACATCAAGAATATTTCCTGTATTTTATTCGCTTTCGTTAATACTGCTAACCAAAACCTGTTCCTTTGGCAGGATCCAGATCTTTGAGGAGATGATCATGTGGCTTTAGATTCTTCTTGCCACTGGTAAAAACTGAAGGAATGACATGATTGACAGGACTGATTCTCGTATTTATGAATTTCCATTTGACTCAGAGTTGTATTAGTGGCTCTTGGCTCTATTGAAATGCTGTATAATTTGGTTGGGGGACAAGTTGAGGCAGCTGTACTCTAAATCTTTGCTCGGGAAGACATTTGTTGAGTTTGCATAACTCGTAAGCCAGGATTTGAGGTTCATTTCCTGCTACCTTACCTTCTTTGTCACACCCTTTAGTGCATGCTTGGTACGCAGTACTAGATAAGAGTAGAAAGTAAAATGAAAAAAAAGATCGACTTCTCTTTCATCATTAATTCTGTTTAGTGCCATTAGGGCACATGATCGCCAGTATTAATTTCGGACCTTTCATCCTGTGATCTTTGCACATTTTCTACTGAGCAGAATCGACTAAGGCATGTGTTCTCTTCCTTAGCCAGTTGTATGTACACTGCTAATGGGGTTATTTACTTGCAGATCCAACTCATTTCTGTATTAATTTACTTTTTCGTTGAAGGTTTTTCATCCCCATTTGAACGGGTGACAAAAAAGATTCATGTAGTTCACTTTTAATTTATGAAGTGTAAGACTGTTGTTTATTGTTATTGCTGTCATGGTTTGTTGTGCACATGATTGATTTTTGTTTTCATATGGTCGCAGTGAATTACAACTTACAAGTAGTTGTACGAGGCTAAACACTCAAGCACCATACGTATATATTGAGGAAGTAGTTAATCTGTGGCAAAATACTACTCAAAACGGATTTAAGGATGTTTAAATTAATTTTTTACTTCTCTGAAGAAATGCAAATGCATGCAATTTTCAATATATAACGATTTTTCCATTGTTGTGGGGAATTCATATTTGGAGAATTTAGGACTACTTTTTGATAGCTAATGTTTTCCAAAATGCTATAAAATACTGCAATTGTAGATCAATTTCATTCATGTATGCTTAGAAAAACCATCTTATAAATATCAATGTAACGATGTATTGATCAATATACAAGGATTAGGGATGTGGACCATTAGAGGTGGGCAAAAACAGTTGAACCTGATGCAACTCGACTCGGGTTGTATTCATGGCAAGGTGGTCCCAACCTGGGAATCTCTCAATTTTTTATAAAAAAATTAAATGGGAAAAATACTTTCAAAATGACCAAATTGAATCTATTCTTGTCGGTTTGAGTTGGTTTTAAACTTATTCGATACAATTTTTGGGTTGGATATCCAACCCCAAATGGTTAGTTTGGAGGTTGGGGTTGAGCTTGAACTTGAGTTCATCCCTGATTGCAGTTGATCTCTTAACGAGGAACTTCAAGATTCAATAGACATTCAGACTTCAAAGCTCGAATTATCAGAATTGGGGATTCAAAGCTCGAATTATTAGAATTGGGGATTTCAAACTGTCTTTTGTTGAGGATTTGGGAAGGGGATGGGGAGAGGGGGATGTTAAAGGTAAAATGTTATATTGAATAATCAAAATACAACATCTTAGACTTTGTTACTTTTCTAGATAATTTGACTTTTTAAGATAGAATATTAGACCTAGTCCCTAATTAGGGTAGAACGTAAATCATACTTTTTCTAAAAAATTGAAATATGTTGGCCATTGATAAAAAAGAAATCCCAGTTTTTTCTCTTCTATGGTTGAATTATGGCGTGAATTGAAATGAAGTAATTATTCTAAGGATTTTCCCCCAGTGTACAGAAGGCAGCCACCAGAATATTGCCAGAACAGAGAGAAATGTGTGGGACCCACCATGTGATTTAAAAAAAAAATGTGCAGGACCCACCAAATGTGTATTCTAGTGAATTTTTGGTACAATCCTTTTTGTACATCCAACATAATTCTTATTCTAACTTCCGCTCTTTATTTAAGACAACTATAGAATGCTTAGTAACATGGATACAAAAATAATAAAATCCACTCATAATTTCAGATAACTCTTGAAGTAGTATAACTTAGCCCTTGTTTAATAATCAAAATTTTCAAAAAATAATGTTTTTAAGTAGTGATTTTTACAAGAATGCATGATTAAAAAGTAGGAAATTTTTTCGTACAAAATATTATATCGTGTAAACATATGATATGAAAATAAGTATATAGAAAAATAGTTTAAAATATACTACACGTGAATGCGCATTGCAATTTTGAAATAATAATTTTTATTTTAAAATAAATTATATTAAAATTTATTTACAAGTGAACTTGATGCGGTGGCATTAAGTTCATAGTTGGCCTCCATTTTTCAAAAGGAAAGATTACACAAATCATGGTTTACATTTACCAATTTCAAAAATTTCAAAACATGTTTCAAATTTCAAAATTCAGGTTTTTTTTTAAATTTTT